CGCCCATGCTCAGCTTCAGACAGCTGAGTATTGGATGGCGATTACAACTGCTACTGAGTTCACCGGACAAGTTACGATAACTATGAATTCATCTGAAAGCATATGGGACCCACATTTTCAGTACGTAGAGTCTGTGCAGCCAGTAACTACTCAAGACACTGCAACAGATTTCGCTTAACGGAAAGCTAGAAATTTCGGCTGACTCAAATGGCTCGATTCAAGGTTGAGTTGTACATTAACTCTGCCGCGAAGGGATTGGACCTCATCGTGATGTGACAGCTTGTGTACCTCAGTAACCCATTCAACTGTATTGGTTGATTCCCAACGAACCTCTAGAACGTCATCCACCAGAAAAGACAGAGGATTGACAAACATTCTCTAAATCCTCTAGGTTGCAGGGTTGGAAGAAATGTGACCATTTGTCCCCTAAAATTTGGGCTACTCGGGTAGTCTCAAGCCGACCAGTGATAATTGCGGTCAGGCTTTTATGCCAAAGATTTTAGTCGGGGACCCTAGTCGTCCTGCTGTCTAGATTTAGGTACCCTAATAGTATCTTAACTCACACATCACCATGTACGTTATGAATAAAAGTATCTTGATGGCACATGGAGCGTAGCGTGGCAACATCAACTAGATCACTCTATTGGCTGCCTAAGCAGGCCCATAAGCGAAAACACACGACTGTTGATGCCTCCCACATTCTTCACCGCTATCTCTTAACTTTCGTCCTGTCCTACTTGCAACTCTCTGCTGTAGATTTCAACCATATTCACGTCAGTCAGGCACCTAAGGAACATACTGACACACTGCAAGCTACCATTCACATCTACCGCTCCCAGCCCACTATTCAGGCCTTGTTCTTCAGTACTTATTGCAGCTTGTAACGTCAGAAGCCTTAAGCAGATCAGCCTACAAGTTGTTCTTGCGCGTCCCCTAGATACTATGCCAGTTAAGTGCAAGTAAGTACTACTGGTGTATTGTTATCAATGGCAACATTAATCGGAGTCGGATTCAGACGTATATCAATTCTTACGACAAAGAAAATCCCTATGAGTGGGTCGGACGCATTGAAGTATAATAAGTGAGGGGGTTGAGGTGGCTCAGTGGTTAGAGCGCAAATTTACTGACCGAAAGGTTCGGGGTTTAAACCCGCTCTCTGCCTATCGAATTCCCCAGTCTAGGCTTGGACAACCTGATTGTATCCCAGCCCTCGTGCTTCCTTCTAGTGGCATGGCAGTTAGGCACCGAAAGGGTGCTACAGCCGAACTATAATAAGTAAGACTCTCGAAATCAGTCCAATTTTCCTCGACCACCAAATTGCACGAGTTCACAATGGTGAGTGTAGCTGGAGACTCCGTTTGAATATTGAAATAGTTGTTATGACTATCTGTGCCATGGGTANATGGGATAATCCAGCAGGACAGAGTAGCGGCCGTCAATTCTAACCTCATCAAGAGCTAGTTTCCATTTCTCCAAGTGAAACACAGTCCGCCAAATAACCCATGGATCATACTAGGACACCGTGTCAAGGGGAATGAAATTCAAGGCCTCCAAAACCGTACTTATAGCACCCATTAAGTAGGATTGGGATATTATTGGTTGGTATATCATTTAGACGCTCATATCAAACATCTTAAGAGGTCTCATAGAGGTCTGGAGACGGAATAACCGGAATAACTCTTAATTTTCCCGATGTACCAATGACCTGGTGTGTTCCTATCTATACTTACGATGCGCTCATTTTAAACGTTTGTGGATGTTACGACAGTCCTTTAAAGATATTCAGCTTAATCCTGAGCTTTCATCCAACTCATCTGTATTAGGGTGCTGGTGAAAGCAAGCAGGTCTAATAATTTTGCAGTGGGGTATACAAAACCCAGTCAGTAAAGCGGGTGGAGCGTATTGATCCATCGTGTATGCCCATCAAAGCATTGATCCGTTGGTGTATCGATGAGTTTTATCTGTTTTCGGTTGTCTGATGTTCATTCACGGAGCAGAGTGAACTTTGATTCGTTTGCTTAAGATGAAAAAGAGCATAAACTACAAAATGCCAGGATATCCAATAATCTTTTGAGCTGCCACTTCATAAGCATGGAAGGCAAGCGTGACGAGAACAGTTCAGCAGCTAAGGATGAGGTGAACCAGCGCATCGGTGAACAGCTGACTGAGGCACGCCGACCTTGATGATCAAAACCTCCAGAACCTACAGAGTGGGCCGCAATAGTTTGATGGGTAATGCGACGTTGGAGATAAGGCGAACTGAATTTGTGTAACATAACTCGAGAGTGAATTTTTCAAGACAGACGGGTGTGCACATACCTTCTGGCCCTCTGGTGAGCAAAATATTGATCGCTAAGAAGACCCTCCGCTTGTTTGCGTTTATTCCCACAATCCCATATAGACTGTGAGTCACAACGTTGACCAACCCTAATGCTGAAGGATGGTTTTTCAATGTTATAGTATCGCAAAAGGAGCCAGTGCGACTTTTCACAGAAGTTACACCCGAATATTGATCCAGTCAGAGGTGCGTGGCATATTGGTCCACCTTGTAAGTACGTTACAATTTCGATGTCTCTGCTGTATCGAACAGGTATAACCTCGCGAAATGACCACTGTTCGATCAGTAGGGAGATTCGGCCAGCAACATTTGTCCTTGTTCATTTTCCCAGCCCAGCATCTCATGCGGCAAAAGTAATGTGCAAGCCAACGTTCTTCACTCTTCGGCTCGCAGGTAGGGTAAAAACAGAAATGCTTAAAACTAGCAAACTATGTTACCCGTCACCAATTATTTGACTTAAGGAGGATCAGAATAGAGTGTGAATAGGAAATAGTGTCCAGGGTTTCAGAACTTTGAATGCAAAGGCAGCTTGAAAACATGGGATCTGGAAGCTCTACATAGAACTGACTACTCAATTCAAAGTTATGAGCTCAGTTACATCTCCACTTGCGCGTTTCGCAGGTTGTGGTCAGTTTCATAAATAAACAGGATGTATCACAGTCTCAGATGATGGTATTTGACGTTTCCATCAACGTGCAAGGTTTATTCCTTAAAAAAAACAAGGAAAAACTAACTAGAACTTATGGATAACTGTCAGCAAGTTTGATGTAAACAATTCAATTTATCAACTTTTCTATTCTGTGGTAAAATCGTGAAGATGGGAGAATCTGACTTATAATTGAGGATTTTGTTCCGCAAGTAAGATGAATCGACTTTGGAAACTTTAAGATCACCGTATAGTTGGTTCATACTTGTTGGGAATCATCAGCAGTACGCATCTCACGTGTCACGAAGGGGATGCGAACCCGCAATATTGCTCTGCATTTCTACTAGAATGCAAACAAAAACGAGCCGTATGTACACTTTACCTGAGAAGCTATTGCACGAGGAACCAAATCATGCGATGTGAATTACGTTAGTGAAGGATGAGAACTTTATATCCCGACCAGCTACTCGTATGATATGATATGGTTAAGTTCAGGTCTTGGGCTCGAGCCTACCTAGGTACTCTGAGATAGTTGATCTATAACAATGACGAAACAGCTTTCCGGTAGTTCTAGGCATTTCGTCATACATTAACTTCAACTGTAGTAAATCCTAACAGAAACTCAAAACTCTTCTCATTAGGTGCAATATATTAATTCACACTGAAGGAAAGTATTCTTGCTCCAGTCCAACCGAAGCAGGCCTTTGTAAAAGATGAAGGACGAGAGATTAAGTATCATGCTAACAGCACGATAATCTTCAAGTGAGTGTTCAACTGCGATCAGTTTTTATAGCACGAAACCAGTTAAGCCATGGCTGTTTGCGACCCCAGTATAAGGTTCACTCATTCTTAAGTCAGTACTTGATTGAACCGCTGACCAGTGAAGATGTCAATGGAGACGCAAGATGTCATACGGCCAACATCCCTTTGGATGAAGATGAACAGGCGGTTTGTGAATGTTGCGAAATTATAGGGACGGTGAACAAGTACCATGCAGGCCACAGCGCTCCTTGTCCGGAAAACAAGAATTCATGATAACCTAAACGGATTTGTTCAGTTAGTTGCTTCTTCAAAATCTCCCTTATGCTCGAACATATATCCCAGTTAGATTCCGTAATGTAACAACCTAGTAGTACCAAAACGTGGAACCTAGTTACTGAATGGGCTGGAAATCTAATGAAGCGGTGGTGAACCCAAATGCGAATTCCATTTGTAGTGGTATCCAGAATGAGACCGGATCTGTACATGAATGAAAACGCTTTCTATGCAGGCGCCATGTGTACTGGGTGTCACACGCTATAGATTGTGTAACTGCATGTTCTGCGACAGACATTCGAAATACCCTCAGAAAGTGACTTAATGAAAGACATGGAAGAAGTACCGTCGTGCAAGAGTACTTTCGACTGCGGAGGGGGCCTTAATGAGTTTACTCATCGAAGATTGAATTTGAAGAACAATACCTAGTTTAAGTGGACGTCCTAAATGTTCATGTAGTGAAGCGCCTTGTAGCGAAACCATCGAATCCGATAAGATTTCATTTGTTTCGTGCGTGAGTGCACATGTGTACAACTCAAGAATTAACAGCCCTTGGCTATGCATGCCCTGGTTTCCCAAGCAGCCAGAGAAAGGGTGACTTCTGAATATGGCTCCAACTAAACAACATGTCAGTGTGTTGATAAGTATCTGGATGGGAATCAAGCCGCAACCTCTCGCTTGCCACATCAAAGGGTGAGTCCCTATTACCATAGTACACGGGGAGCTGACTGATAATCACATGCAACAATGTCCCAAAATATACAAGGCACATTACTAGATATCTCTTCTTGTCTGAACCTATCATACATAGGCTCGGACAACCTATACGCCCAGACTTCATTCATTCCTCAGAGTTAAGCCACCGAATCGCCAGAGCTAGTCACAATTGCTAAGTCCGGCATATGGGTTAAATTTCAACCGCACACGAACCGTAATAAACTTGAGAAATTCGACAAAATGGTATCAAACGCGGGGACTCACCCGTAAGGCGAGAACCATCTTTGGTGTCCTTCCACTTGTCGAGTTGCCTGGACGCTGCTGCCCTCAAAACAGCTGCCAAGATAACCGCTGTAGAAAACCAATCACGTTCGATAATCCGTTCTTTGACCAATAGCCTTGCTGCAAAAGCATGTACACTAGCTTGCACCTCTGCCAATCCAATTCACAGATTTTGTGTGGGCGGGCAAAGAAACGCACGGAATTCTGGGTCACGCTCACGCCAGCCACACCCACCAGGCTAAGAACGTCTGGCCGTCTTCCGAGTCAGACGTCATTGGACGGTTTTGAGGTTGGTCCTGCTGTTCCGTCGACGAGAAAGGACAAGGGTATCGGGCCAGGCTTTCCGGTGTTGATTGCTTTGGGCAGACCTATTGCGGTGTAGGCGATAGTCTTGTCGCCCAGCCCTGCTGCAGTGCAAAAACATGCTTCTATGCACTGCTTTTCAGAGGCCATTTTAAGGTGAGTATGTATTCAATCCCAAGTCACAAACGAAGGCACTAATTAACTTGTAATTTCGAGTCTTACGTTGTCGTATGCGACGTCAAACTAGATACACAGATCCGGTAGACCGGAGGCAATAAGAAGCGCCTCGGCCAAATCAACAGACGCCTGACAGACACCACTCTGTAGCAATCTGGACAGTCTGGCTGGTACGCTCCATTGTCAATTACGTGCATGCTGTATTACCCAGTAAGCAACACCCGGGCTGGATGAGCCAGATAGACATAGGTAGACATATCACAATAAATCCTGTGAGGGTGACAGGATAACAACGTAACGAAAACTGGTCAGTTAGTTAAAAAAAACTGCACTAGGGCCTAAAAATTCAGTAAAAAAAAACTGCACTAGCGCCTTAAACACAAACTCTGCAATGCTGGCCAAGGGTTTGACAGTAATTTCAGGTTAGTCACTAGAAGCAGCATTCACAGAAAAATGTACCCAGAAAGGGCTTTAGATGCTCCATCGTACTTGCTAAACTCATAACACCGATATTCTAGAGATGATCAGTTTCAGTATGTGTTGACTGCATGGATCACCGGAAGGAGCTGATCTTTGATGCCGTATTTCCTTAGGATCAAACGCGAATGCAGAGTACCCAGTTAACGGAATTCTAGGGAAGGCCCATAGGAACAGGAGCGTAAACGCACAGGTACTAAGTAGCCCTAAGCAAAGTGTGGTTAACGATTTTCATCGCAAGATCTGAGTCGTTTTACCACGTAGGGTCCGATCGAAAAATACACACTGCAATTGTCTGATACCTTGCCTAATTCGATGGTAGTCTAGTAACTTTTGAGTCCAATGGGGTTTATCATTCCCGAAAGAGTTTCCACTTGCTGGAAAGCAGTTGTGCAATCGAAAATACTTTGCGTAAGCAGAAAAGGTTCGGTTATATATAGAGTGATGGTTTTCTTCAAAGCAGTTTTTATCCTGCGGCCAACCACAATATCTTTGTGGTGCTGACTTCGATTGTTTAGGTCCACGAAGGCACAGTTTGTTACTTTGTTTTCAGAAGTAGCAAAATTTTCCCAACTCTTTGCACTGTTTGCGGTGGGCGATCTGAATTATCACCTGACACACTTTTGGACTTCGTGTCTGCCCAGGAAGCCTGATTATTGAAAGTTCATTTCTACAGTGTGGTCTGACTAGCTGATTGATTAACTCGCATGGCAGATTTGTGTTTTTCTTGGAAGCATCCAACAGGAATATCAGTAAGAAGTAAGTCCAAATGGAATACGGGGAAAACTTCACTGGAAACTTTAGAAAACTTATAATGCCGACAGAGTTCTCACGTTTTTTCCCTGGATGACAGTGTGCGATTAAATTAAGTCTCCAGAATACTTATCACATTTAACTGGAAAACTGTGCATTGGCTTACCCAGTTTCTTCTGTGTAAATTGATCCCCTTCTAGGATTCTGACTTTTAGAAGCAACATTTTAAACTAGGCGACGTTTGGTTCTATAGCTAGGGAGATTTTGGAACTTAGGACGAACTTTGATTTTGCAAGTAAAAACAAGGCCGAGAAGCACAGTACCACTTTGTTGCTCAAACTTACCAGCAGTGAAAAACTCAGTTATCATGGAGAATTAGAACCAGCAATTTGCCGGTTAGCAGTTAAGTACTATGGCGCTTGCTCACGGGTCGTTGCTTGGTCATGTTAAAAGTTTGTATTTAGAACAGGATAGGGCATTCCAGTTCTTCAGTGACGCAGTTAACGTCGCTTGATCGTGCGCTGATTAGTTCCTTGAAAGGACTCATCCCATGCATGTTTAGTGTGATAAGCACTTGATACTGCAATTCAAGAAAATAGTTCTGATCCGAGCTCAGTGGATAAATTAACCCCAAGATAGCCAGGATGGTCGTACTTTCGGAGCCACCCCCTGGAGAGAAGCATAATGGGAAGAACACTGTTTAAAAAGAGTAATCCTCAATAAAACCTGAGCTGATTTTGCCACAGCAGTCCGCAGAAAGACATCTGTGATACCATCTGTGGTTGAATATATTCTTTCACAAGGCACATGACGAAATTTCTGGAAATTAATTTCAGATGGAATGAAGCACGTCAGTTAGAAGATCAACTTAATTAGAATGTGCAAATGTTTAAACTGTCGTTTCACAATATCACCAATCAATTTATCTCCACCGATATATCTAGCTACCAAAGGTGTCTGACGCCCAGTTGTATTCCCAGTAATCCAATCAAATAAAACCATTTTATCTTATCTAGTTTGTCTTGGTTTTTCTTCCAGCATATTCGAGGATATGAGAGAAGATAAGGCTTCGTTGGTGATACAACTTGCAAGACACAAAATGTCTTCGGGTTACGATTGACCGGATAAACAAGGTTCGAGTTTATCTTAGTGAGGTTTCGAGCTCTAATTTCAAATTTCCTCAGGATAGCCAGCCAACCGATTAAAACGGTTCAATAAATTCTCAACGGTTTTCACATCCGATGGAGTGTAACCTAACCCACCCCCCATTTATCCTGGTTTCACTCTTCCGTCCACCTAGCTACAAAGTCGAAATTTATGAACGTGTGCAGCACTGTATTAGTCGGAGGAAATTTAGAAACTAACTAATGATGAGTATCTTGAAGCCATATACTAGTCAAACATAATGTGGACTGAAAATCGCCCTGATAGTTTTCCAGGCCTGTGTGCTGATATTTATGTGAGCAAGATAACTGGGTAAATCAGAGTGTTCTAAACCGGTTATCTAAAACTTTTTTTTGGAAAACTCAATACTGTCCTAGGTGCCTCGTTCACAGACTATTCGATCCCCCAGGTTGAACTGTTGGTAGCGTATATATATATACATATATATATATATGTCATATACACCGTATGCATACTACCAGAAAGCCATTTTTAGCAAAAGTACCACTTCTTGGAACAGAGGACCCTTCAATGAGGGTCTTGCTCCTCATTAGAAAGAATTTGATGTGTATAGAATTTCCATACCAAGTGACAGGAAGCGCCTACTCAGAAGCAATAGGTTTAGATAATAAGCCTTTTCTAGTTGATTGCACTTTTAAGCATTAGTGTGTTGTTACACTGGATTCCTCAAAGTATCACATAGGTGAGATGATATATTTTAGTAGTCTGCTGGATGGACATACTTCCTTTTTATCTCCACGGTAGAATGCATCATTTTATTTGGCTTTAAATTATCTCACTTGGTTTAAATGTTCTAACAATGTGAACCGGTCATATTCCCATCGGGATGCGTATCCCATGTTCATGCTTGAACATCACCAAATAAGTCTTATGTCCCAGACAAAGTACATAGCTCGATACACTGGACTCACACAACAAAAAACTATAATCTGTGCTGATGTTCTTCTGGATGGGATACACTATGAGGCCTGGCAGTGTCCATAACGACGAAAGTGTTGATTCGTAGGAGATACAACCCGTCCTATGATTGGACAAGCGCTTTCAAAGGATCCTGAGAATGAGGCCAAATGAGATTATTCACACTCTGATAGGAACATAATAACAAAGGATTAATTCATTTTAATTAGGGTACTTACATCGAAATCTAGTTGAATTGCGTTCAATTGCTCGACGTGCCGAAAATCTCAAATATGTTCTGTGTTTTGAAACGCTTGGTGTAACGAATCACCAAATAACGCCTTCATTCAACGAGGAATGGAACCCCTATTGGGAAGTTTTCAGGTGCTGGAGGGCTCCTTTTTAAATCTGCTTTACTGGAAGTCCTCACACAAAAACGACTTCCAATGCTGTTTGGTAAATCCGGATCAGATTACAGCTTTTAGTAGTGGCCTTTTTCAAGGGTATCCACTGTGAAGAGGTGGTTTCTGTTAATATTTCGCCAACCCTTTAGTGCATAATGATCCAGTACGTAATCGAGCCTCAAAACACTCCAATACACTTGCTTTCTGGCTTACACATTCATTGAGGCTCTACATCGAAATTCAGGCTTTAAAAACCTCTGAGGAAAAATTAACCCATACTAATAGGATGAGGTCTATTGAATCTACGAAAACGACAGTCGTGAAAATCTAAATAGCGGTAGCGCACCGTCCCTGTTTCTGCCTGTAAAAATGACGAACAGACAGTTGTTTTCTTGAATTAAAATACTGATTAGGTCGTTAAAAGCTGTTCGACAGCGCACGACCGGTTTCGCCAGATTCATGGATGAGAGATTCAGCTTGATCAAAAAGTGGTGTCCAAATGATTGTATTTGGCGAGACTTGTACAAGTAGAACATAACATTGACTGAAGGAAAACTCAAGGCCTGCACCTACCTGATGAGTCCTAAGAAGGCTGAAACCGGTCTTGGGCTGTCGGACTGTTTCCAGCAACTTTATGATTTGTGTGTCATTTCTAGACAATGCGTTGCGATATCTTGATTCTCGTTCCGACTGAACACAAAGTGGTGTTTGAAAACCACATCCAGTTGAAAAATATCGTGATATCTGTAATTCAGCTAAATCGTGCGTTAAAATCAAATTGGCGTGCAAATAAGTGCACTTCTTGGAGAAATTATTATCGATCGAGAGCATAGAAATACACATTTCCATAACTTTGCCAGGAAAAAATTGGAAGCGAACTAATGAGGCTGTGATCGAATGCACTTTAGTTGATAATCGAAGAGGCACAGAAATTATATGTTTCGCGGTCGTCTGTTCAGACACTTTTTCTCTGGCAGTTTAGTCTACCACAATTTTTCTGACATGTTCACCCCACATGATAGATAACCATGGTTTACACAAGAGATGTGGGCGGCTGATAAGTCATAGTATGAATAAAACTCAAGTCCAACTCCTCGTTCATTCAGTATGGACTGACCAGAACGTCACTTAAGGACACAAAGAAAGACTGATAAAATTTAAATACTATAGTTCCCTATCCAACGGACCCCGTAACAGGTAATGGAAAGATATCCGACGGGTTTTACGATTGTGTAGTACTACCTAACCTAATCGACACAACCAGAACAATAAGTACTACGTCGTTGTTTCTTGCCTCGGGCTAACCACACACAGCTGAAGAATGGACGTGCTTTTCATCGCAAATCTGAAGAATCAGACGAATCCGTGAAATGTAACGAAGAAACGGACTGTCTGATCAGCTGTTCATTGCGACCAGTCCGGATTGAAACAAACTGGTTTAAGTGTGATGGAGCAATCACGTAAAAAACCGCTATTGACGCGTTCGTGGAGGACCGTTCTGTGATACATCTTGGCAAGGAACCCTCTAACTGGCAGGTGTCTGATTCCCGTGGATGTTCTTGTCCGTGTTCGTTCTCTGGGGAGAGACCGATCTGTCTGCACCCAAAGATATCCGTTTGCCCTCTTTGTGGTGAATTGTCCACAGAAGTGCAGCCTTACCAGAAAGTATTGGGCGGCGACAGTTTGCTGCTAGCGAGCTATAGCAAGAGAGGAACTCGAGTGTTTTGACGGGAAGCGAAGAAATTGATTGTGCCAGGACTCGAGGCGAACGAAATTCGCCACCATCTGCAGATTTCGAGATCGTTTTCAACAGGTCTAAGGTTGACGAAGCTATAAAGTTCGTAAAAATTTTAGTTCTGGTTTGCTGTTCTTTTACACGGTAGAAGTCCCCGTGTTGTGTCAGAATTCCAGCAGACAACTATGTTTATTAACCCTAATCAGTTGGAGTCTGTGAACACATACGCCAAATATACAAACAAAACAAACTGATTTGTTTCAGTTTGGATAGCTTAATAATGTAAACGGCGTGCGAGTGACAGATCTTGCGATGTATTCGCCCGTGATGCTACGTAGTGAAGCTGATTAGTTAGGTTTTCCGACATTTTACTGGTTCATGTTGAAATCAAATCAATACATAATATGGTTGTCTGTGTGTTGCATTGTCTCAGATGGTAGTCCAACCTTGTAACACCTTGTTCGGTCTTATATCCTTCCTTCGTAGGGTAGCGGCTTAGTTTTTTCTATGTCCCACATATTCTCCTCGGTTCGACTTTGGGACCGTACAGATATTCTTTTGTTTCACTGTGTTTCTCCATGTACCTATCGATTAGGTTTATTGAGGAAAGAAGGCCAGACAAATAAGACTTTTTGCTGAAGTAATGTCTGCTGTTGGATTTATGCAAACTGATGAAGAGAAAGGACAAAAAATGCGGATACGACGACTTTCTCCGGCGCGTGCCAGCTACTTCATGTCTGTCTAGACAAAACATCTAAGCGATGCTCACTAGCATCTCTGAACATTGAAGTGGTTCAACTATTATTTAAATGGATACACGCTGGATTTCTACGTTGCATCATGTTCTTGCGTAAGCAACGTGATAGCTATCCACCCTCAAACAGCAGTTAGCAAGTCGAGTTCTGTTACTTGAAGTCAATTCCATTTTAACAGGATCGATCAACCTACCGTGCAACACCAAGTTTAGTCCAATAAGCAACCATGCCACAGGTTTCGTCCATATTACTGCCCCCCCCCCACCAAAGAGAAACCGTCGCGAACGTTGTGGAATACGGTCCCTTGCGGAAGCAGCCTGCCTTCAACTAGGACTAATGGACCAGCCTATGGTAGGTTAGCGAATAAGTTTCCGTATTTTTTCCTGTTTACCCGCAATGAGTTGCAAGGTATCCTGATGTGTATAGGCAGTGTTAATTGAATTTAGAACACTTTACATTCACCTGGATTTATTTTGTTTCAAATCAAATAAGCAGGGTGTCTTGTTAAGTTACATAGTGATTATTATTATGTTTTAGTTGAATTGAAGATAGTTGTCATTCTAGCGTCAGTGTCCCTCGGATTTAAAGTAGTTTAACTGGGACTTACCTCAGGAGTGATAGCTTCCCAAGTAGACTTGTTGAGAATTCAGATTTCTAAGAGATCCTCGAGCTTTTACCGTGAGTGCGGTTGGGACATCCGTGGATGCAACTCACAAACAACAGCTGTATAGCCTCGTCAGGAGTGGCAAAGTATAACACGACCTAGATACTGACCAGTAAATTTCAGTGATTGGCTACAGAAATAAGTCCTGATTCGGACGTGGTTCTGAACATTATGCGTGCCATTGCGTTCAAGATAGCTTTATTTGAAACATGTTCTGACTTGCGATAAAGCCTCTCGAACAGATTTGTCCCTTTTCTGTAGAGATCAATCAAAGTGCCTGACCAATACACACAGTGAGTTGCTTCAGGGGATCAAATGAAAGGGGCTATAACCCCTTGAAAGGGCACTACTCACAAGGTTCCCGGAAACTCTTCACTACCCCACCACTGCTTTCGTCCTTCCTGGGGCTCATCAGGTAGGTAACGCCTCCGAGTTTCCCTTCAGTCGAGCTTATGTACTGTATGAACCTAGATTGTACGAAATTCGCGAACGAAACTCATTTGCACACCGATTCGGTTCCAACGAGGGACTCAACCGGATCCCAGATGAACCCGTCGTCCGCGATATTCGGTATGATATTCTAGATAGCGCAGTATATTTCTTGGGATGATACCACTCATAAGATGCGGCTGAGTCTTCCGTTAGAGCCAATTTGGTGTGCGAAAAGCGGTCTTAGTTCCGGACTGCGGTGATGCTATACGAAATCCGAGAGAAGCAGTATGCACGTGACGGCGTGCTAGAGAAATGTGAAATCACAACGCACAACGGGGTCGAACATGCAGATTAGTGACAAGTTTGAATATGTTGAATTTAGTGATACGTGATCAGAACCACGGTGTTTCTTCCAACTTTGCTGCACACACATTTGACCTATGAACCTTAGATTCTACTTTCGTGGCCGCCTTCGGAATGAAGTTCTGGAGCTATTCGTCGATTGGTCTTTGTAGTAAAAACTTGGGGGTGGGTCCAGATTGACCTTCGAACTTTCGGTGACATTCGCGCCTGTGCTCAAAAGGCATAACGTTATATACTTCTTTGTACGTTCTGTCAGTCACCGACCTGTCGTGCCTAGAAAACTCTCCTAGTCACAAGAGAGAAAGAGAGAGAAACGCATTCCGTCGGACCTAAATTAGCACAACTGAGACCAACTTACAAATGCTTGGCGCGTGAAGCCAGCAAAGGCCATTTGAACGTATAGCGTTGATATACAAAGTAGAAACTGACCATCTCCTGTACTTCGCCAGATGATGTTCTGCAGCTGAGGAAAGGGTCAGCTGCTTGTGAAATCACCAGTGAAAGAAATAGCCAAAAAACGTCCAAGAAAATTACGTCAAGATTATTAGGTTTTATAAACCTAAGCAACTTCGTTCCTTCAACGTCTTTTATTGAAGAAAGACTGTGTTGGTAATTTTCAAGACAAGGGCAATCAGCTAATCTAGAAGCACTCAAGCTGGGATTGAACTGGGAAACTTCGGAAGCACTGGACCAACCTGGTCCACCTGATTATTATGAATATCTATTCAGGCAGAGATTATCAGGATCACACCAGATCTCCCCAAAGAAGATGTCAGGTGTATGCCTGGGTGGGGGGGCCGGGGGGGGGGGGGGCAGTAATCAGATGGTCCTACCAGTCAAAACTGGCCACACTGCCTGATTACATCAACAGAAGGCTGGAGTAAGAACCACAACAACTGATGCTACGCAGCAAGAAGGAAGGAGCATCGAAATATGGATGGTATGATGTTACCATGACTGCAGCTTTTCGGCTTAGAGTGACAGGGATATTCCAAGTGAAAATCTGCTTCGTCTGTGATGCAATGTTTAGACTAAATTATCTATCAGCGAACAATTCTGATGAACAATAGTGCGTCAGTATGTTCGAATGAACGGAAGACATTTTTGTTTATTGTACCGTTTTACTGCAATGGAACAACATTTCGGCGAAACCGAAGTGAACCGTAGATAAAATTGTTTGCCCAAGCAGTATACACGGCCGTATCCGTATAAATTTCCGCCCGATTTCCTAATTTACAAACTGAATTCGAGTAAGTGACATACGTTTCTGAAAGATTTCTTCGACTCTTACAGCAGTCAGCTGCAGACCTTCACGGACCAAAATAACGATGTGGTTTCTCGAACATCAAACGACCTCGTTGCATGCAAAACTGAAGGATAACAATATCAGTATGTTTCAAAATTCATCTGGTGGTCAGTAATAAGTCTGGCCAACCAATCTGCGTTTTCGGCATTCTTCAGGCTCACCGAGATATCGCCTTTATGTGCTTGAACTTTCCTCGTCCTGCCATTTAGAACCATGGCTGTAATCAGGACATGTACAACAAGGTAATGAACATGTGACATTTATTAAAATAAATCAACAGATCGATCATTCGAGATTGATGCGACTACAGTTGCAGTGTGCTGATGTAAGCTGAATAGTTTCAGTGTCTTTCTAAGTGTTTTGCACATTGATCGCCTTGCCACTGAATCGTTATTGGTTGATAGTTTTTTACTAGTGGAGACAGAAATTCACTTCTTTCGTTTTGGAGAACAGCGGAATGCTTGGTGGTTGTGAATCCGACGTTCTACGTCCGATAATAATGCTACCGGATGATAGATCTCGAGCAATGTGATCGAAGGTGCGATTTTGTGTTTCGGGGATGAACAAGAAAAAGAAGATCCAGAGGGAGACGACGACCACAAGGAAGGGAAGGAAGGAGTATCCACCAATGGCATCCTGCAGGAAATGAATGAAGACAGGGCACGGTGACAGAATATCAGTGATATATCCTGGCTAGCATTCAACGAACAATGGTCGACGAGAGATTCGCGAGTTTGACTAAGCTGTACAGAAATGGCATATATTTAAACTTACAGTGCTTCGCTGATAACCAGTGATTCGTGATCACCTAAGAGATAAGAATCGTGTCAATTATTTGACGTGCGTTAGTAAGCACTCCGTCCCAGTATTACCAGATCACCAACTGTTGTCTCGTGAATCGTGTCAATTATTTGACGTGCGTTAGTATGCACTTCATCCCATTATTACCAGATCACCAGCTTTTGTCTCATGGGTCCATCATTTTGGCATCTTTATGTCATTCCAGTTTGAGCTTCTGTTGTGTATTCGAGTATTATCCAAGCTGTAGTAACACACTTTGTTCAACTCTCCAAAAATGCCTCAGAGTCAAATGAATGAGTACAAAGGTAACCTGTCTTGATTTGAACCATCACTTTGTCGAATTAAAAGTCTAAATGGCCTCAAATGAATTGCGTATGAGGACCTGCCGGTGATGGACGAATATTCCGTCACAAACAAGGCTTACACGATGCGCCGCGGAATCATAGGAACGATGTTGGGAAGAAGGGTGTTAAGTTTTTTGTCGTCTGCTGTAATTTAGGGGGAAGCTAAAATGTTCACCATTAACTTTAACTCATGGTTACTCACCAGGCTACAAATAATTTGGAATTCACTGAAGCTGTGGCATTTGCCGCTTCATATTTCACCTACGGTCTGAGAAGCATGTGAGGATTTCGAAGGTTTTCGGGCTCGAGACGAAGGCACAATTCACAAAAATGCGCAACGTATGGGTAGATAAGATTACTTTTTCACGTAAATCCTACCAGTGAAGGCTTTTTGGACTTCCCTATTGAATGGCCTCTGTTATAAGAAATTATTTTGTTGGGACTACTCTAGGCGAGTCCTTTTGGTTTATCTATGCTTCACGTACGTTGGGGTTTGTGTATTTCAAAAACCACAGACTCGTCACTTTGGAGACGAAGAAGATAGCTGAGGCGCTTGTTAGTTGGATTCAGCGCGTTAGTGAGTACCATGTACAATGTGCACATATGCGGAAAGTTTTATGTTGCTTAAAGATTGCAATCTCGCTGTCAAAGGACGTTTTTCCCACAGATCCCTTGCAGTGGAAACCATACTTTGTTCCTTGAAATGCAGTTTTGATTATCAAAACAATCAGCCCGTCCGACCTGACACGAAACCCGCGCCGTACTACCTAATGGCACTTTTGTCTTCCGAGAACTACTGTGTTGCTGATGAAATCAAACGCAGAGGTGTGTTACCGACTCAACGTGATGGACCAAATACCACAGATCAGATGCATTTACAGAACAAACGGACAATGTCCAAACCCGTACCGTACATCAGTTATTTTTTAACTGACTAAGGCGGCTAGTTAAACAACCACTAAGGCTACCTTAGGCGTGTGCACTGCCTCAGCTGATGTGCCTGCATTGCTGTGAAGGTCATGTATGTGTGTGCGTGTGGGCAAACACAGTCTCGTGGCTAATATCGACTGTTGAGCACACAGAAATGCATACGTTTGACCTCGCTATCAATGAATGGTGTTAATAGTGGCTGTATGGAGTGGCCGTCAATGCGACCTTTTCTCACGCATTCTGGAACTGATGAAGCAGAGCAACTGGGGCGTGGCTGTTGAGTGAACAGGTGACTCAGTCACTTTTGTTAGTCCGAACGCATGAAAACATGGCACTGTGATACGGTGTTTCAGTTAATTCCATTTCGAATTTGTGAAATAGCCAGTGAAAGTCTTTTCAGAAGCCGATAGCTGAGGAGTCTGACGACAGGCATGAACGCTCCTGATGTACTTAAGAAAAAGGCAGCATTGAGCGCGCTGAGGAGGTTGTCGAGGTGTGTTTGGGGGAAACGAAATTATGGTGTCAAATGACAGGCAGTAACATTGGTGGTTCAAGGTTACTCAAAACATCAAAGCGAGCCGAGTCAAGGCCTCATTTCCTCCCTAAGAATTGCGATTGCTGTATGTACGATGAAGAGTCATTGCAACCTATGAGAATTATATAAGGCCTTCGTGTAAAGCCCCCGTGACAGAAGATCTCTAAGAAAATTTTGGATCACTTCAACTTCAGCTTTATACGTGGGACACCACAGAATATTCTTTCGTCCGAGTTGACTGGCGAAAGAAAGAGTTTTATTTTAATCAGAACTTTCTATAATACAGCTTCGAACTAACGAATTGGCGGTTGATCGCTGCGCTATGGTTAATGCAATTTTTGGCAAAACCAACGGTGTGTCTGGCACTAAAGTTCCTACACCTACTGAGAAAACAAATGAGTTTTCATAGGGTATGGGAAACTCTAAGACTTTTTTAACAGTAACGTTTCCGAAAAGCTTCTGTTCATGATGGCAATTTAAATTCCGTTCACGGATTGGCAATTAATCACACTGGAGAGCCAAATAAAATTTCTTGGTTTACTTAAATGTCCTTATCTCCACTGTGTTTTAGCACCAACTTCGCAAACACATCCCCCTTTAAAGTCTATTTGTCACTCGCAAGTTATCACTCGTTAAATATACATTGGGTAACGAATAAGTACGCCGTTTAAGCCTGTCATCAGTGATGACAATACTTCAATAAATTCGTTGAGTGAGCTTTTGTAGTAATATATCCCCATCGTCCGGAAATGCGAGTACGACCTTGGCAAACATCGTCTCATCAACATACGACTTGGATAGCGGTGATTTTTTCAAAGCCCTATACGATTTGACCACAGTGAATCCTTCCTCTTATCATTCTAGGGTCAGAACCTATGGTGCGAATGGGAAAACGGAGCAGAGAGGGATTCGAACTCACGAACCCTCGCTTGCTGTGTGAGTACTTTATCACCTAAACTACCCAGTAGAATGTTGGACGTTTTACATACACTTTTGAATTCGCACTGAGTTACTCATCCGTGGAACCCACCCACGTGGGCTAACTACTCAACTCAACTGGAGTTTCAGTTGCTATGCTGACGGCTAATAGCAGAGGAAATATGAGAATTCTTACAATAATCATTCATCAGTTGGGCTGGATGGCTGTTGATGTGATCTTGAGGCATAGAAGGGATGGCGAAACCTGATACGGTGGACAAACTACGAGCATCTTGGAAAGAGCAATGCGATTGGTGATGAATTGGGAACTACTTCAAAAAGGCCCATACAAAAGAATGACCAGTTTAATTCCGTTGCATATGGAAAAATAACAAAGGACTGACTACATTTAAGTATATTTCACTTTTATGTGCTGTAAGCTACCGTTAAACTAATCCGTAGTTTTCATTCTGCTGAGGGTTGAATAGCATGCTTGAGCGTAGTTAACGGACTAGCAATATCCCATCGATGAGAACATACTATGTGACAGTTTTCAATGTGAGAGATGTCCAAAGGTCACAGATGCCTTTCAGCTGTGAGAGTGCACTGACACTTTCCAGTGTTTGGATTGTTGCACTTTTCCAATTAATCCAGCAGTAAATGATTCGGTAAATGTCTGGACGAAAAAACAATCTTTGATAATGGACTATACGAGCCCGAATATATTGAACTTTGATTGACAGCATTATACCACGAAAGCTCTGTTTTCATGAGGCAACAATTCAGGCCATAAACTGGCATATTTTTTTTGTGAGACTTGGTAACCTATGGGTTCGGACGGTTTCAAACAAAACTCACTTTTAAGCCAGTGACCAGACGATTGTATTGCTCAGCACGCGCTTGCTTTACCATCTAGATGGAGTCCACAAGATCACCCATAATCCCTACAGGAATGTGTCCATTTATGATTTGTTTTCACACCTCGTTTATTGAGAAATTCGTCAAGCCAACCAAACTCCTCTGGAGTTCACTCTGAGCACCCAACTCAAAGCGAAGCAGCATTCGCTTGTTCTCATACTTCAGTGACAGTCGACTTGCCATCCTCTAACTTCAGTAGGTCATATCCTTTAGTAAACGAATCTGATTTGATGAACAAAGTTCACATCAAGGTGCTGATTAACTACGCTCCGATTTGGAGGACGATACAATAAGTAGTAAACGTGACATGAAAAATGGAGCTGGACTTGACAGAAATCACATGGTGTCTGCTTCACTATGGGTCCCGTACTTCAAATCCAGCGTTAGGCTGATTGAAATGCTCATAAATCTGATTGACTAAAAAACGACTTACGGCATAGTTTCAACTGAAGATAACAATCCAGTCACGGCGAAGGGAAAAACTGGTCGGCTTTTGAGAGTACATGACATTTGTGTGGAGTAATTCAGGATTTAGCGATGATTTTTATATCGGCGATTCACTAGTCTGTAATGAATAAAACACCTTAATGCTTATTAGGAACGAAGCAAGCGGATCCTGATATGCTTGCCCACATTAGACCTTTACAAAGTTTTCAGAGATCTTCAGAAGATCAGGAGATACGCTGGCTCATCGTCGCACTAATGTGAGATGAAGAGCACATGATCACGTCTGATAAGTAGCATCAACTGTGTTACTAGCGTGACGATTTAGGAGGTCTGTCCGTTTTTATCCGTATTTGCTGTCCATCATCGTAGATTGTCTCATGATGGCGAATCTAGGAATATCCTTGGATAGTGACTAGGAGAGATTTAGCGGCATCTCGAAAATGTCTATTTCATTCGGTCTTTCGCTGTAACTGAGGTGCATCGGATGTCATTATGGGCCCTTGTGAGGGCTATTGATCGTCTGAGTTAAACGTGGACCAGAATGCTACCTGAATTTACCGTTAACTGGGTGCAGCAAATAGGCACTTGAAGGTCGTGATTCTACTGCTCGTTTACAGCCGGAAACTCATTTTTTGCTGGTATCCTGCTTGTCGCAGCCGAGGTGAGCAGCCATTAATGTCCTCCTTTAAATAAGCTTTTCTTCCGTATAGTTGCTTTAAAAACGCTCTCATTACCCTCTTCAG